CTCGGGATCCTTTCGGCCGCCGCTGATTTGGGTGCGCTCGAGCTCACGCGGTGGGTTGAGCGGTTCGTGGCGAGGGAGGGAATTGGGAGGTCTGTGACGCTGTGCAATGCGCTGATCGACACGCTCGCCAAGTGCGGGGATGTCGATGGGGCAGTGGCTGTGTTCGAGGGGATGGAGGAGCGGACTGTTGTGTCATGGACATCGGTGATTGATGCACTTGCAATGGAGGGCCGTGGGAAGGAGGCTGTGGGGGTGTTCGAGGAAATGAAGGCTGTCGGTGTGCCGCCTGATGATGTCGCGTTCATCGGGGTGCTCACTGCATGTAGCCATGCTGGAATGGTTGATGAAGGCCGTGGCTACTTTGACTCAATGAAGACAGAGCATGGTATTGAGCCTAAGATCGAGCATTATGGTTGTATGGTCGACATGTTTGGTCGCGCCGGCATGGTTGAGCATGGGTTGGAGTTTGTTCGCGCGATGCCCATGAAACCGAACCCAATAATTTGGCGGACTCTAGTTGCTGCTTGTCGTGCTCATGGTCGGCTCGAGCTCAGTGAAAGCATCAGCAGGGACCTTCTTAAGGAGTACCCTGCTCATGAGGCCAACTACGTCATGCTCTCCAACGTGTTCGCGTTGACGCAGAGATGGAAGGAGAAGTCAGAGATTAGGAGAGAGATGAGTAAGAGAGGAATCACAAAGGTGCCGGGCTGCAGCCTTGTTGAGCTTGATGGAGAGGTCCATGAGTTCATAGCAGGAGATGAGTCGCATCCGCAGTACAAGGAGATATACAGGATGGTTGAGGAGATGTCAAGAGAGCTAAGACGCATTGGGCATATTGCAGCCACATCAGAGGTCCTCCTTGACCTTGATGAGGAGGACAAGGAGGGTGCGCTTCAGTGGCACAGTGAGAAGCTGGCAATTGCATTCGTGCTCCTGAGGACTCCTCCTGGAACACAGGTCCGGGTGGTAAAAAACCTGCGTGTATGCTCCGATTGTCATGCGGCAATTAAGTGCATATCGCAGGTTTATAACCGGGAGATCATAGTGCGTGACAGGAGTCGTTTCCATCGCTTCAAGGATGGTTCCTGCTCGTGCAAGGATTTCTGGTGATTGGAATTGTGTTTCACCAGGTATCCTGTTTCTGATGGTGCAGTGAAGAGTGGATTCAACTTCAACAGCACATGCAGGTGACCGTGAACTCATGATGTATTTTCAAGGAATTTCTGCAACTGCAAGTCCTTGAGGTTTGCCAATTTATATGGAACACAAAGCCAAAAACTGATGTTTACTGAAGATCACCGGAAGTAGCATTGAAACATATAATATCCAGATACTTCACCTTGAGTACTGAATGTCTCATCAGCACACATTTATGGACTAAGATTTCCTACAAAAACCTAGACCATCGTGAGAACATTTCTAATATGTGCCCCAGCTTGCATCCTGTCTGAATCATCTAATTAATCCAAACTTTTGAAGATACCATTCTATGCATAGACAAACTTCATGACATGTATATATGATAATAGTATGATGCCTTTTGTTCATGCAGGGGCAGATAAATGCATGTCTTCTGCTCTCTCAGTGGCCTCTCTGAGTTTCTTTGGCACTATTCTAAGCCTTTTCTCAACTATCTCATTCTCCATTGCTTCTTCATTCATGCAGTGAGTTTGTAACTTACCATGCATCTATGAACTGTCTGCCATCTCTATGATGTTGCTGATCTCGGCCAATGCTTTGAAGCTTTCCCTGTTCTTGTACGCCCTTGCCTTCTCATTATTGCAGGGAGCTGTTAAGTCAATCTCAGCCTCCTTGCGCAAGTGATCGCATCATCATTCACTACAGGGACTACATGGGTAATATTTCTCTGTACCTCCCTTTGTAGAGTCTCTCATTTTATAGGATTCTGCTTTCAATAGCCAAGAAATTTGTTTCCACTGCATGGATCAAACACATTTAAGCCTGTGTTTTCTTGTTTGCCTCTTCTGTGTCTAGCTCTGCCAAAACCTCCCACACAGCCAATCTTATGAACCTCCGTGTATCCGCTGTTAGATCAAACCTTTTCGCTATTGCGTGATGTGCATCTTATTTTCCGGAGCCGGCTCCTCTGACTTGCAGGAGCAAAGGCAGGCAAGCTACAGTGGTCTTTGTGTAAAACAGCGGAGGGAAGTCACAGAGTAAAACAAGCACTGTAGGCAAAATAGTGTAGGCGATTACTGTAGCGAATTTACGATTAACAGAGTTGCTGCCAATCAAGAAGGGCGCTGCCATGCTTCAACGCACAAAATGCTATGTTGGTAAAACACGAGCTTCTAGAAGAAAGACATTGTCTCATTTATCAGATTTATTTGAAAATTATTTAGAGAATTCTCTTCCATTTTCTTTCTATTTAGAAAACCTACGGAGTCTCATTGCTTTCTTTCCTTTTTCCAGACATGCTAGCAGGGAATACTCATGTTTGGCTTAAACATGGGAAGGAAATTACAACCAGCTGAGGGCTGAAGCATTCCATGTCTCCAGCTAGGCTCTCCACAATATGCACAAGAAGCAGAGGACTTTGTCAACTTCAAAGTCATATTGCGCAGTCTATTTGCTGGTTCTGATGGCGGTGAGGGTGACGCGGCCTTGTTCCTAACTTTCTGGATGGTATCAGCAAAGTGCGCTAGCATGATAGGATTTGATGTCTCGCAGTTCTGTGATGTCAATGGCTATGCTGATCTTAGCCAAGGCTTAGCCTTTGCACAAGCTTAATCAGTTCCTGGAGCTCTTGATCAGCCGCTGTTTCAGCCAAGAAAACATCCACTTTGACATGAAGCTCCTCTGGTGATGTCAACACATGCGGTGAATCCCCAAACTGGCCTGATGATTGGTGGTAACCACACAGCGCCTCCATTGAGGATAAGTGAGGCATCTAGTCTGAGCAATCCTATGAACTCCCTGATGTTCTTCGATGCCTTTTCAAGTGCTTCCACGGTGCTCCTCAGCTTGTCCTTAGCGCTAGAGAAGAGCGCCACCGAAGTGGTGCCGATGCATCATGCCATGCTGGAGCACACATTTCTCGTGAAATGCAGAGTGGTACTACTAGCACCATGCTGGTCATCGTTTTTTCAGTGAGCGGCTTTGTCTGTTGCATGATGTTTGAACCTGAGAAGCACCTCGTCACCATGGGCGGCAGCCTCCTTGAGCTTCTCCCGCCACTGGACTAGCGTGGTACTTTTTATGATCTGCTTCGCTCACACCTCGACCGTGCTGTGGATCCTCATGAGGAGCAGCTCCAGCCTCTGCAGCTTCTCATCAGCGGCCATCTGCCAGTTGAAGTTCTACAGGAACTTGGACACTGCCCTGTCCTGTCACCACGGTGGCCACTGCTGCAGCATTGGTGGCAACCACTTGTGCCATGGCTAGCTCTCAAACAAGGTATGTGACTGACTAGAGTCTCTCAAGTCTATAAATACATATAATTAAGGATTGTTCTGAGTGTCCCCTGTCGCAAAATCTAAAATTAACTAGTCAGTGAGTGTATGAGACTGAAAACAAGTTATGGACATAGTTGGTGTCAGCCACCCTAAGGTCGACCGACACTAAGAAAAAAAACATGGAATTTGTTCGACGGACACAGCAACACCAGCTGTCAAAGTATTGCACATCCCAAGACAGCCTGTCCCTAGTACGCACAAAACTGCAGAGATCATCTGCTTCATTATCAGAACAAGCCGCTGTCTCGTTTCCAGCTTTACCATCGACGTGTGCCAGTGGTAGGTGTAGACAACATTGTTGCCACTATCTACAGTCTCCCACTGGATGTTCACCCATTGTGACGGCCATATGAAGCCTTCCAAGTCTCTGAACATTCCCACAAGCTTCCTTTGTTCCATTATTATCATGTGCTGTTTAGGTCGACAGTGAACCTCCCTCATCTGGTGAATCACACTGCTACTCTCCTCACTCACGGAGTCACGGTTACCTCCTCTACCATCCCTCCAATTAAGAACTGTTCTGCATTTGGCTAGGCCAAAGTTGAATGTATGGACAGTGCCACAGTGCTATAGCATGTTCCATACTAGATGGTGATGTAGACCGTCTCGTTCTTTCGGCAGGTTTCTGCTCTATCTTTGACAATACCTCCACCTGCAGCACCAAGATGAACTCTGCGATATCTGGGGACAGCTCATATAACTTCTCCAGTGAGATGCTCAGCTGCCATTGCTGAACGATGACTGGAGCTGATCAGAATATTTAGATTCCTTGGACTTGTTTTGAGTGGCCATCGTCTTGCATTAAAGATTTAAAGGCAGCTTGGATGCCATCGGAAATGAGCATGCAAACAAAATGGTCGAGCTGGGATGGAGTACAAACAAGTGACTACAACGATGTCAAATAAAAGGGGGAGATAACTTCTAGCTGATCTTAGTGTCTATCGCCATACGGACACGGTCCAAGGTAGGAGTAAATCAGCATTTAAGAGCCCCCCTGTATTGGTTCTACCGGCAAAAGATATTCATCAAAGTGGATCATAGAAGCTATTCAGCTCAAAACTATCGGGTCAGAACCACCTGAATGCTAGAATATGGTTGTCTTTCCAGCACTGTAGCACCCATTGAAATTGACTTAAAAAAGAGCAGAACCAAGGTTTAAGGCTCCTTCCGCTCGTACCACAAAGATCTTGACTTTATGGCTCTACTAATTCTGATATATCCGCAGTTCCAACACCTTCGAGCTTCTTTAGTTCCCCAACCTTATTTCTGCTGTACAATGCAACGTCCCTATGTGACCAAAGGAACTTATCGGCTGAGCTAAAAGAACCTACTGAAAATTGTTAATTGCATCATCGGTTACACAATCAGAGCTCAACCTGGATTACTCCTGTTTTTTTCTCCTTGGATGAAAGATTACAGCATGTCTTCTAATCTAAAGAGAAAATACTTTTTTTTACAATGGATCTAGACTTCCTGTCTTATTATTCAGGTGAGCCATCTTGACATGATAACAACAAGTTAGCATCATGAACACATGTATACCAATTTGCCGAAGCATTCCACATCCCTGGCTAAGCCCTCCATGCTATGCACGAAACTGCTGAATTGATCTCTCTCTTGATCTTGATCACATTTCACCATTGGCTCGTTATCTTTGGCCCTTAGTGTTTTGCGAGCACTGATGGTGCCAAGAACGACACAGCCTTTTATCTTGGCCTCCCTTAGGATGTCAGCCCAGTATGCAAGCCACTTCATGTCCCCAAGGTCGTGGCTATCTGCTAGCTCGACGGTCTTGCAGATATTGGCAAACCCTTCCTCAAGCTTGTCAAGGAGCATTTCACACTGTTCCTTCTGGATAACTGCCATTTCATTGATCGAAAGATTGATCAATTTGTTCACTACCACATCCTCCACGCACGGAGCTGAAATTGTTGTGTCTTCCTCATCTAATTTGAGGCCAAATAATCTGCACCCTGAATTTCTTGTGATCCTCATCTTTTTTCTTGGTCTATGCTCTGTTGTTGGAGTCTCCATACTCTCGGTAGATTTTAGATCTGCCTTTGCCCAGTCCTCAAGCTGAAACAATCTTATGAACTCTCTGATGTCTTCGGAGAGGTGTTCTAACATGTCCAGTGTTTTGCTCAGCTTTTCCATGTCTTCATCATTCGAAAACAGTACTTGGGTTGCGTCACGGATGCCCTGCGCCATGCCCAACATAGATTTACTTGTGAAAGACAGAGCACCTGTAGCTCTAGCAGAAGCAGCACTAGAAGAAGAGGATGAGCCTTGCTGCTGGTTGGTGTCAATGCTCCTTGTGGCTTCAGCGTCTTCTGCCTTTCGTATGAAGCTGGCAAGCACCTCGTCGCCTTGTGAGGCTGCTTCCTTTAGCTTGTCGCGCCATCGAACGAGCCACAAATTCTCGATGGTGAGTTTCTCGGACGCCTCAATCGCACTGTGGATCTTGATTAGCAGCATCTCCAGCCGCTGCAGCTTCTCACCGGCAGCTGCCTCCTTACCGAACATCTGTATCAGCCCTGAGAACACTCTGCTGGTGAGCTCCCCGGTTACAGCAGAGGCAATAGGGTAAACTGTCTGTTCTGCCATGGTCATGGAAATGGAGGAAAGGAGAGAAGTGTTAGCAACAAGAATGCTACTCGTGCTCATAGGTTGTATCACCTTTATAAGGACCTCAGGACCTGTACTGTACAAGAAACAAAAATTAAAAGAATAACATAAGTTTTAGCTGTGGATAGTTTGTCAGGTTGGAGGCTTGCAAGGCCCCAAAAAATAAAATAAATCTTTCCAGAGAGTAAGGCCTGCAAGATTTTTCTGAATGATCTGGCAAATGCTGGCTTTGACGTATTAGCAGATAGCAAAAGGATAAAAGATCAGAGTCTAAAGGAAAGAAACTTTAAATAAAAGGACAGAGCCCAGAGGCAGTCATGTTCAGCGCAACTCCCAGATGATCGACATCAGGCCCACTGGCCAGCCGCCAGAGCTCAGCCAATCACCTAATAGCCAGGATAATCTGAGTCGCCGAGCGCTGCATGTCATTGAAAATTCTCCAATTCCTTCAAGCCAGAGCTCCCACAAACCGAGAATGAGAAGCGTTTTTTTTCCTTTGATGCACGTGCTGCCAGGATTACTAATAGCTTGAGACCAAATATCCTGCACTTTCGGATCCGCTGTCCATAGTGATGGGACGAGGCCACCGTGGTCATGGCAGGTAGCGACATCCAGCCAGATGAAGCACGGCACCGGGCATTGAGCGAACAGTGGTTTCCCGTCTCCAGTGACCGCACGCACAGGGAACATAAATAGTAGTTAGGCCACCCTCTCCACATCAGCCTGTCGGCGCACCACAGCCAGTCCTCAAACAGCAAGGCCTCTAAGATTAGCTTGCACTTAATTTGTATCATCCATGTACCGTTGTTACAGGTCAAATGGATTACACTTTACAGAACAAAGTTTACTAACGAAAGTACAAATTCTGAGGTATAAACTCGAGTATCATAGCATGCCAAGAGCTTGAGAAGTTTTATTAATCTGTAATGAAAACACAAACCTATTTTGGTTATAAAAGGCGATCGAACCAGCCATAGACGCTGAATTCACAGAAGCACGGCATTAGCAGTTCTGTGTGCCACAGTAAATGCCGTACAATCTGAGTTCAGACACCATGTTAATGCGATCTTTAGATCCAAGACCCTAACCTTCTCCAAGGCTGCGTGGCGCACAGATATAGGCAAACCCTTTAATCCAGCTGAAGATTTACGAGACGTTATCGGCAGATGGCAGGGTGTTCGTTCTTAGAATGCTGTTTCCCTATAGGCCCCCACAATCTGCTGGTGCTTCTCGTGCGTCGGTAGCTGCATTGCTCCTTGATAACCAATCGTTGCAGAACGAAAGAACCACTTGATATGGCTCAGGAAATGGCATGCATGGGATTTATTCAAGAAAAAAGAAGGGCATCTCTCAGCTAAAAAAAGAGGTGTTTTTGGAGTTGTAGCTTGCAATCACTCCTTGGTAGTTATTTGTGTGGTGATCTTACAGGAGAAGGTAAGATGATAAATCGTAAACGAAAAGGACATGTAAAATGACTATGGAGAAAACATACCAAGATATTTATTCAAGGGAAAATCAAGAGATAAGTTAGAAATGAAAGGCAACTTAGTTGCTGTCACCATTGTTTTAACCGCTCTGAGGCCAGAGACAAAAAAATTTAGAAACAAACAAATGATGTGTAGTTGATATCTGTATTAGAATTGAAAGGAATCTTTACAGCTTGCACATTCTCAACAATGGAAAGGATCGTTAGGTAAGTCCTATTGACGACTCAGTAGAAGCGGGAATATATAGTCAAACATGCAACGTAATTTGCAAATGCATGAAAATTGGGCTTATAAACGTGCAAAAGTTCTAAAATAGTTAGGGAATGTGGATTGTGTATCCATATAAAAAATTTCAAGACCAAAGTCAATCAATCTTTTAATAGGGAACATATTTTTTTCAATACCTATGCTGTAACAGCTTTAATCAGAAAATATTACAAAGTTACAATCCAGAGAAAAGGAAAAATCTCAGAAGTGTTGCCCTTTTCATGCTTCCTATCATCTTGGTTCCCAAACGCCTTAACTGCGCTGTGGATCTTCGAATAGAAGCATCTCCAACTGCTGCAGCTTCTCTCCGACGACTTCCTGCTTACTGAACATATGTATCAGCCCCCAGAACACTCTGCTGGTGAACTCCCTGGTTGCAGCAGAGGCCATAAATCACGATTATGACACTAGTCACCTGGTTTGTTCGTTTTAAAAACTCTGCTGGTGAACTCCCTGGTTACAGCAGGTGACTAGTGTTTTCTGCAAAAAAATATCCTTGGAATTAGTGGTTTTTGGCACAAAACTGTAGAACTGTGGTTTCTGCGACCCTAGCCTTCAATGTCGATGTTTTCTACAATTCACTCTCCTTACAAGGACCTACTGTACAAGAAACATAAAAAAAAAGTAACAGAAGTTTTGGCTGGATAGTTTAGACTTCAAAGAGAAAGGCTTGCAAGATTAGCTGCACTTATTTTATACCATCTTCATACTTTTCTTGTTACAGGTCCAATGATATGCACTTAGTATGCAGGAGTTACAGAACGAAGTTTACTAACCGAAATATGGTTCCGAGTTATAAACTCTAGTATCATAGCATGCTAAGTGCTCGAGAAGGTCTATTAATCCGTAATAAGAACACAAACTCATTTGCTTATCAAAGGTGATAAACCACAAACTCTGAATTGAATACAAAAGTATGCCAGCAAGCTCTGCTTTTGCAACAATAAAGGTCAGCACAATCTGAGTTCAGACATCATGTTAGTACGATATTTAGATCCAAGATCCTTACTTTCACCAAGGCTGTCCGGCACAAACAAATTAGAAACCCTTTGATCCAGCTGAAGACTTACGAGAAGTCATCGGCAGATGGCAGGGTGTTCTTGGAATGATATTTTTACCTCCAGACCCCCGCAATCTGCCGGTAACTTCTCATGCGTCGACAGTTGCATTGCTCTTGATAACCAATCACCTCAGAACTAAAGAACCAGGCTCAAGAAATGGCAGGAATTTATTCAAGAGAATATATATGGGCACCTGTCAGCTCAGAGGAAGAGGTGCTGTGTTGGAGGTGTAGCTTGCGATCACTCCTCGGTGGCTATTTGTGTGGTGATCTTATGGGGTGAGATAGTGAAATAGTAAACGAATAGGACAGCTAAAAATGAATATGGAGAAAAGAGACCATGAGACTCTGTGAACTAAAAACAAAGAGATAAGTTAGAAAGAAAAGACAACTTAGTTGCTGTCACCATTGTTTTAATCGCACTGAATGCTGGAGACAAAAGTTGGAAACAAACAAATTACGTATGGTTGGTATCTGCGTTAAAACTGAAAGGCATCTTTACAGTTTACACATTCTCAAGAATGAAAAGGACCATAGGTAAGTCCTTTTGATGATTCAGCACAAGATTTGGATATTTGGAGATCTTGGCAATCGTTGTTTGAGGGAGGGAATATATGGTCAATCATGCAACAGTTGATGCAAATGCATGAAAGTTGGGTTACAAACATTCAAAAGTTCTAAAAGTAGCTACAAAATGCATATTTGTATCAAAACAAAAATCAATCAAACTTAACAGGGAGCATAAATTGCTTCAGTATCAAATTTATAAACTGTAACAGCTGTAATCAGAAAGCAAGACAAAGTTACACAACCCAGAACGGAAAGATCTCACAGCATTGGCACTGCCACCCAAAACTATGTAGGGTCAACTCAAGCTAACCCTTGAAACTTTGTTCAAGTATCAAAAGGATGGAGGTATTTTAGCAGAAGCTACAGCTTGTACAAGGAATTGCTGCTCTCACAGGCACTGCCCTTTTACGCTCACTATAACATTCGCGGAGTCAAGTATATAGTCATGCGGTCTCTTCCTGCTCGAATGTTGATGTGCTTCCTTTTGTGAAAATGGGCGGGCACATATAACCACTGGTTTCTTCACTTTTGCAGGAGCATTCTTCTCCCCGTTCAAAACCTCAAGTTTAACGGATCTCGTGAACTGATTATCTGCCGATAGCTTCTCCAACACCTCTTGTTTCTTCTCTTTTGCAAGCTCAACCGATCTCAAGAACTCATTATCTGCCGATGGCTTCTCCAACATCTCCAGTTTCTTCCTTTTTGCAGGACCATGCTCGTCTACTGTCAAAACCTGAAGCTCAACCAATCCTGAGAACTCCTCATTATCTGCCGATAGCTTCTCCAACATTTCCACTGTGCTGTTTAACTTCTGCACATCCTTGTTGGTTGAGAGCAGCATCTTGGCAGCACTATGGAAGTAATTTATAATACTTGACACAACAATCTGTGTGTAACCTAGAGGACTGAGTGTACCTATATTATGGTTGATGCTCTTGCTGGCTTTGGTCAAGGCTCGCCATCGGAAGTCAAAAAGTACCTCATCACCCTCTATGCCAGCTTCCTTCAGCTTCTCCTGCCACTTGAGCAGATAGGTCCCGGTGATTTCGTGCTTCTTAGATGCTTCAACTGCACTGTTGATCTTTGTGCACAGCATGTCCAGCTTGCGCAGCTTGTCATCGATAGCCGTCTGCTTGTTGATCATTCCAATTACCTTGGAGATGGCCCTGGTTGTGATCTCGCTGATCACTGCAGAGCCAACTTGTCCTGCCATTGCTTAATGAGCTTGTATGTATAGCTAGATCAGACTAAAGGGTGAGAAGGGATTATACTGGATAGTGGATATATAGCAGTGGTCAGCTGTTTAATACCCCCCCTAGAGGTTTAATTTAGGATAAGCCAATTATAGCCATACGAGGAAACCGAAATGGATGGAGAAAAAGAGGTGACCTGTAGCATAGCTTTTGTCATCCACTTACCCTCCTAGAGATATTCACTGAGACTAAAAATTGATTGGGAGTAGGGCCTTGCTCTGCATAGTTTGCGTCAGCTAAGGGGAATGGATGAAAGCTTAGTTACACTAGATTCTGCAGGAAATGTCAAGAACCAACCAAAGTGTTCTCTTTTATTTCCCTACATAGAGTCAGGGTAGATATTCCTGAGGCAGCATCACAACTCACAAGTCAAGTGCATTTGGCAGCTGGCACCAGTGAAAA